ACCTTCCTCTCAGTCTTAGAGAGAGCCTCACGTTCCTATGCGAGGTCTTTTGGTTCACAGGTGGAACAAAAACCTGAATTGCCTTTCTGCTCCCCAAAAAGAAAAGCTATCTTTTATTTTGTATGTATACTATAGTCAGTGTACTTTCCTGAATGTGTCAGCACAGTAGAATGATGGTAGAAGGATGTCAACAAAGAACAAATATTAAATAAACAATTAACTTTTAACCGACCCAGAGAAAGCCTAGTGTCTACAACGCTCAGTCTAAAAACTGCTTCAAAGGAGAATCAATAAAGGGCTAATTTCCACCCTTAATTATCAAGCCATACGAACCAGTTTTAATTCCAATTAATTCAAGTAGTTATTTTTTCAATTTTTATTGTACTCTGCACACAAATGATGAAAAATGGATCAAAGAGATGAAGAGATGCATCCTTTAGAAGTGTCCTTCGCCCAACATGCCTGAATCAATGACTGACTCGTTAGCAGGCCTCTGAAGAGCTGAAAATAATTAGGACTTCCTACTAAAGGGATCCAGGTGGGGTAGAGAATTTCCATTTGTTTTTGTTTTCTGAAATAGATTTAAGACGTTCTGTTTGCAGAACAAAACTGCCCTGGCAAAGGTAGGGAAGTATCTGCAATACCTGAAATGCTGTGACGTGGAAAAAGAAAGGATAAATGAACATTTCAAGTTTTATTTAAACTTTGTCCCATGACCTTGAGTTTGCTTTGATTTGGTTCTTTGTTGAAGAACGTCACATCCATAAACAGAAATGATAATTTCTTCTGATTATACTGGAGGTTTCTTTCTGTTCAAAAGGGAGTTTTCCTCTCCTCTGTCGCTGCATGCATGCTTAGTGTCAGGGATTGCTACAGAGTCAATATCTACTGTCTCTACCTGCTCATCAAGAAGAAAAGAATCCTGTTAAGTCAATGACTGGATGCTGGTTTTTCTTAAGTAGAAATATTGAACCTTTAATCTGACTGGATGATCTGATTGATCTGGATTCTTCTGCCTTTTCTATTTTATTTATTTATTTATTTTTTTTTGTAAATCACTATAGCGCTTCCTCTGGTGGTTGTTTTTGGTATATGTTTTTTTTTTGGTTATGCTTTAAAGGGAACTATAGCAAGCGATAGATGGCGGAACGTAATGCCAGAACATAATGCAATCTTTTATGATGGTCAAAGAGAGGGCAATGGTTAGATTGTTCAATAAACAATCAAGATATTTAAGATGACACTTCTGTTTATTGGAGCCTCGTTTTTTTTAGCTGTCTAGCTGATGAATACCGGCATACTCATGGCATGGACAGAATATGGATCTTTAAAGTAACCTGAGATTAAATGATGTGAATTGGAGCACAGAAATAAAGTAAAAGGAATTGTCAGGAAGACCTGCTCTAAAGGAATTTAATTCTTTGTAGTTATTTTAAGATTTAAAACACCAAAGGGTTCAGAGGTCATTAATGTTATCACAAAGAAACTCACCTCTAGTTGGAGGAGCTGTTGTGGTATAGGGAGTGGTAAGGTGGGTGGTACGGCGGGTGGTAGAGTGGGTGGTACGGGGGGTGGTAGGGTGGGTGGAGGAGTAAGACTCAGTAGATGTATCTGTCAGTGCTGTGTTGGTTTGGGTGTTACTGCCTGTGGTGGAGTACCTGGAGGTGTAACCACTAGTTTGATATGGCGTAGGAGTTGCCCAGGGGGGAGGTCGATAAGGTGAATAGAAGACTACTCCTCCATTATAACTTGACAAAGTGAACATCCGGCCATTCAAGTTGACGCCAGAACCACCTGAGGAAAAACACACCAGAATGATATAGAGTCATTACGGTACATTGCCCACTTTCAATTCTGACGCAAAGACTATAAATGATTTAAAAGAGAAGTAAGATTTCCTTTTAACATTTAATAAAATATATTTAATGATAGAAATTTTCTTTAC